CTTTAATTTCGATAATTTTTGCAGCACGTTGCCTCGAATGTCCGAATATAGTGAGCAAATAATTACATATATCGCCGGATACGAGTGATACAAAAAAATATATAATGCAAAGAATTAACAGTGCGCTGTCTTTACAAAAACCTGGAGTTTGTCATACGTATGAGCTTGTTGCTTTCGAGGACGAAGGTGGTCTAGTTTATCCCACCTAAGATGCTATCCAAATATATAGAGTAGCAGAGTTAGAAATCCGAGAAATAATAAACAAATAACAAATTTCACACGAGGTCATCGTTAATGATGAATTAGATTTTACCATGTTTTGTCAGTAGTAACATTTTCATTTGTCTTGCCATTGATCAATTTGATCAATCACCAACAGAAAACCATCTAGTAAAATTATTTAAGGCAGTTGCAAGTTCATATATTGACGTGCGTTTTCATTATTTAAGTTAATCGATAGATCTTCTATTACAAAAAGATGTTATATAATAAGCTCATTTTACTGAAAGGACAATAATTTTAATATTTGAAGTGGATTAAAAATTAAAGTTTAAATTATTAAGTAATTTAATATAAAAAATAAAAATTAAAAAAAAAACATTTTTTAATAAAGGACATCTCTATCAATCTTGTTTTGGTATTTTTCTACTATATTAATATTTCACGACTAATTGTAATCAACGAATACTTGAATCGATTAATTGAATGGAATACGTGTATTCCGTTCAATCAATCGATTTAGCGTGAAAGAAGGTTTCTCATCACTAAATAGTTCTTGTGATGTCATGGTGGATACATAAAATGTGGCACGCTCGGTTTTCATACAAATTGCTGTACTTGCGGCGTCTATCTAGATGTATGTCTGTGTAGGCGACTGACTGCATTAAATCAAATACTCGACTCAGAGCACTGCGGATTCTACGCATGCGGATGGCCCACAGGCGGACAGTCCGTACGCACAACTGTGAAACCAACCCAAGATTCTATGAACAGAATTAGTCCACAACTTTTTATGCGTACCTCGTATTATTTTTATGATTTTCTTGTAATAAAGCACTTTTGAGGTACGGTCATACACACGATAATGTTAATCATTTACATTTACATTGAAAATATTTAAGAAAAATATTAAATACAATTTCAATAATTGAAGACTATTAAAAAACAATTTAAAAAATATTTGATAGCTGTATGAATTATTTATTTAGGCATCATCAATTATCGATTAAAACGTCATGTATACTTTCAAGGACAGTTTCAAGGTAAATAAACTTATGAGTACACAGAGCAAAGTAAATATAACTAGACACCTACGTTACTCGTTATTTTAATTTATTTAACCAATTAAAAAGCGGGGAAAGAAAAAGAAAGTTTTTGGACAGAAGGTTGAAAAAGCGGTGGCAAAAGCTTATATACCTTGCTCAATTTTCGTTTCTGCGGAAAGGAATGAAAGCTATCTAACGAAATTACACATAGCATAGTGAACTTTATGTCAATTGTGAAACGTAGAAACAAATTACAATACGGTAGCTACGCAGCTACCCGTAGTATTCCCGAGAGCGAGAATTTTCCGGAAGACGCGCGACCTGATTTTTGGCGGGTAACTAGTTTGGTATGTTACACAATTGACATAAACTTCATTATGATACGGTTACACAAAATCACTTCCATTCCATTCCGCAGTAAAGTAAATTAAGCCCCAGGATTGAGGTAGCAAAGGGGTTTTGAATGTCAAGTTTTTACACAAGGACTCTACTAATAACATTGAGCGATAGTTGTTCTTAGTTTCGGTCACTCACAAAAAATCCACAATATATCTGTACATCAAAGATAGACTCAAGTGTGTCCAAAATCTTATTTGATGGAAATTATTTAAATATACGGACGTCTAACCTTGTGTGCGTTTGCTTAGAAGATACTTGATCTTAAAATTGTCTAGTTTATGTACCATATTTCCCAATTCTCAGAAAATAATTGCACACCTTATCTGTCCACATAATGAGAGCGGAATTAATGCACTTCGTGTGTATGTTATACATATACAATAGTACCTATATTATTTCCCGCGATGCGTACTATTTTTAGAAATAGAAATAGAACGCGCATCGCGGGAAATCACCTACTTAGGCACATGCAATGTTTTTGTTACCAACAGTACACAATTTTATTTCATGATATCGAGTAACTGGACTTACAAGTCGTGTCTGGTGGTAAGTTTATAGCTTTAAATCGCAAAGATTTGATTGGCAATGTCACAGAGCCCTTCGACCTAAGACATAAAGTTGCTAAGTCCCATGTGCCTGTAGTTTCACAAACTGCCTTACCCTTCAAATCCGGAGCGCAGTAATATTCACATTACTTGGTGGCAGTACTTCCTTATATGAACTCTTTCACAAGAAGCTCTACTCAGTCCTACTTAATTTTTTTTTTTACATTCGAATTGTATGTATTGAATTGACGAAGCGAGGTGCTACATTCGTGCGTTCCCAGCCGCATGATGACATGTTTATTTTGACTTTATTATACGCGGCCAGTTACTGAAATAAATACGTCACTAAAAACATGTCTGACTTGTTATACTCCCTTGACCCTTTTGGGCCAAGTTCAGAACAAAGAACAGGCGAGTCCTTTGGCTTCCTCGATCAAAATTTTGAAGTCTAATCGCGTGTCGGAACTTTCCCTTATTAATAATAGTGACATGCGCAAATCTACTGTGTTCTTTGTAAAATACTAACAACCTGGCAGGACTATATTTCACATGAGTTTTTACAAAACCATAAATTTACTAAATAGTACATTATTGCAGAGGCCGGGAAGTAAGGGATTGCTGGACGAGCATGAGTTACAAGGACGAGCGCCAGCAATCGAGTCAAGCAATCCCCGTTCCCGCCGAGCAATTATAGAATTTTTCTCAAACAATGCGAGGAAATAATAAAAGAAGATGTATAATAGAAAAAGTAAAAAAATATTAATTAACATTAAAATTTATACAATTGCTAACGGAAAATGTTATTGTTTTTGTATTTTCGTTATTTCTCTTCTCACTGGCACTCATTTTCGCGACCAAAATACAAAAAAAAGACGACAAAAGAATACCAAAACACTTGTAGGTATTTTTAATTTTCGCAGTAATGAACACTGGGCAATTGGCTGAACTATGAACTATACTAAGACTATATGAACTATACTATACTAATGAACTATGTAAACGGTCGTTTATATAGTTCATTATTAGTAGGAAAATTTAAAGTTTACAGAATAGGTGTCGCGAATTATGTCGCGATTTAGTATAAGTTTTGTAATATCAAGCATTAATAAATTTAGTCTGTTATGATACCTAAGAGTAGGGAACTAACATGACAGTACAGGCATCTTTTATGAAGGTGAGATATCAGGCATCTTCTGGAAGTGCACTGGTTGGTCGGCACTACAGTTGGTAAGTTTGCACAATGTTTATTACTTACGTAGATACAGTATTTGTTGAATAGACAGCCAGAAGATAGAGTATGATGAATCAGTAACAGAATTAGAATGAGATCGCCACTTGTACTGAAGGTACAAGGGGGCATGAAGCGGTGGCAGAGGAAGGGCTGTAGGGGTGTGTGTGGAGGCCCATCATAGGGATCAGAGGATCCCACTAGTTCAGATCCGGAGGATCGATATGAGGTCAAGGACCTGTTAGGACAATTACAGTAGTCCTATGAAGTAGAATGGAGTTAGAAGAAGTGTACATGAAGAAAGATACTCTATCTAAAGGTTGTTGTGATAGAAAGAATGTCGCATATGTAATTTACATTATGATTGAACCTTAGGCGTGGCGACATTATGGTGGAGGTGCTTGGTCCAAATCGAATATCATAGTAATGATATTCTTGAAAGATTTTTCTGGTATGTCAATCAAAGCAACTCATTTTTTGCCTGGGGAAGTCCGTCGTCTCATCATCGTAACTTATAAGTCAAGTAGCCAAAGGTTTGGCAACGAAGAAGTCATGAAGTCGGTGGACCTTGATTCGTTCGGGGATGACCGAGACCAAAGTTTCAACCCCATATGTTTGTGGGGGACTGC